ATCCTACTCAACAAAAACCTTGCAGGGAACTCTGAGTCCGCTCTCCTTAGAAAGCAGCTGAGGGAGCTTGCACCTTGAGGTCTTTTCCACAATTAAAGTAGCTAATTAAAGTTTTTCTTCAAACTACACACTCTTCAGAGTGCAGACTGATCTAGTAGATGATGTTTTAGCAGGCTTTTAAGACCACCTCATTATCCCATCTGCTTCACAGACACAGGAACTAATTAAGTACTACTTTATTTGAATATCTATACATATTTTCTGTCCTCATAGACTATATTGATTTAATACACATAATCTGGAAAATCAGCATGATGTATGTTTCTAAGCTAGTATTTTGAACCGAAATACAGCAGGTCCTCAAATAATGTCTTTCATTCAATATCATTTTGTTATAACATCGGAGATTCCATAAGAACTTAATACTTGTTTATATCAAGGAGCCTGCAGTAAACTGGGTTTAATTATATGTCGTGGAACCTATCAACGTCTTTGAGGACTTACTGTACTTTCTCAAAGGTCTATTGTGAATGAAAAATTTAATCCAATGGAATAAAGAAAATAAATGTAATGTCGGTTCTGAACAATATAGTAATTACTTCATAAATAATGAACGACTTATAGGAAATTTTTATATTTGAAATTTTCATCTTGTATTTTAAATGTATGCTTATGTGTCAGCCTGTAAATTAATTTTAACATGATATGTCTATAGAACATAACACAAGAGTATTAAAACTACTACCATGGAAGATTATGTAGGTGTGTGAATATGGAAGAAAAAGGGACATAAAAACTATAGGTTGATAGATTAGGGGATACAACTGTGGATAATTATCATTTAATATTTTGTTTGAGTAACGATCATTGTTATCTATACAATATTAAAAAAAAATAAAGTGCTAAGGCCATAAGTTGTTCTAAAATATACTGAATTCATGAGCCACACAAGAAAAATTGTCAAGATGTCTCACTTCATACTTCAATAATCACATTTAGCAAATATCACTAGCTCTATAAAGCCTCTCCTAATCCTAATTTTATGTCATCATTCCACATCCTTCCAACTAATGAGGAAGTGGAAACAGAAACTATTTGCATGCATTCAATTAACGCCCAATGTTACCACCTATATTTTCACATTCCCAGTTCATTTTATTAAGCGTATTCCTAAATTTAACATCTACCTTTACATGCATCTAGCCTATCCCTATCATAGTGTAATCTCATTACTTCTTTCTAAAAATTAATTAATTTGTCATTTTAATTCCAGTACTGGTACTTTCACTTATATGAATTTCACTCTTTTAAGGGTTTTTTTTTTTTTTATGTTCATCTTCTAGAATGAAGCTCAGATGTTTAACAAATATAATTAACTATCTCCAAAGGGAAATATTTCCTCTTTGCTTATAACATTATGAAACTACCTAAAAATCATTAACCTGTAATTTTACAGTTAATTTTTCCTTTATAAGTTTTAAAAATATGGATTTTAATCCAATCACTAATGTGTATGAAACATGTGCTATAACTTCCATTGTGCAAAATTAATCAGAACTATAGCAGAAAAAGGATGCTTTGATTTTTGCCACTAAACGAAACTACATGAGTCCTGATGTTTTATCACACCAAGAAAGACAATAGAAAATTCTAAACTATCCTGTTAATACTAGAATTACACATGTCTTCTGCAAAGAGAGGTGTACTTTTCAATTCTGACAATTCACAAATACTGTTCAAGAAATTTCCCTGCATCACTAGCAAATAAAGGCAAATAAAGGCAAATAAAGGAATATAATTTTTTTCTACACACATTAGTTCCAAATATTGTAAAACTTAATTCTTTTACAAAAGAACCTGATTTGTTTCACAGGTTCATTAAATTAGCAAACAAAAGAATCCCATCTTCATATTAATAGTCATAAATAAGTTAGTCTTAAAGAATTTTAAAATTCACTCCACATTCAAATATATTCTAACCCTGAAGGCAGACAAGGCCTCTGTGATACAAATGAGGAAGCTGAGCTTCTGAGATGAGGTGACACCAATTCCTACAATCATAATGTAAACTGGAGATAAAAATTCATTTATAGGAGACCCTAAACTTCCTATTAAGCAAATTTATTACAGTAGCTAAAATGCAATCAGCATAAGTTTCATCAATTTAACTGTTTCTTAGAAAGACATACATTTTACAGCAAAGAGTTTTCAATATAAAGATTTTGAAGATAAACTTAATATCAAATTTACAACTAAAAAATACAAATATAAGCTATATCTAAAACGCCATGATAGTAAAACGGATGTGAATAAACAGAATCTATATATTAATGATAGGAAATTGGTTAAAATACATCTCTGCTGTGTAAGGTTGATAAGTTTTCAGACCAATGTTAAATTTTATTCTGAGCCAAATAAAAAATCACTTTTTCAGCAGAAAACATGCTGAAGAATAGCTATGTATGGCATTAACTGGAATGAGGGTAATATCTCCTACTATTTCAAAATGATGTTTGAAAGAGTAAAAAAAAATCTGAAGCACCATTCTACCTCAACATACATGCATTTCTACCTCGGCTGTCTGAGAAAAAATAAAATCTACCACAAAACATTTTTGCACAGCTTATTTTTTACTCTGACTATATGCAAACTGCAGAAAATTTGGAAAAGTGTAAATAAGAAATTACCCACAACTCTACCAGCAAAAGACAGCTGGTATCATTTTATTATTTCCTTCCAGTCTTTTTCCTTCTACTTAAGTGAAAACTCCAGTTTTTAACTTAAAATTACAACATGTAGATATTCCCATTATTAAAAATTCTGTTGCTGTTTTAAAGCACTCCTTCTCATTTTGAAATTACACTTCTTTTCAGGTTATGCAAGGGAACACTAGTGGACCCTGATGCACATCTGTTAGATGAGGAAGACTGGTTTAAAAGCAATTCTACTACAGACTACACCAGGGTTCTTTGAGTAAGAAAATACAATTTTAAAAACCAGGGAGTTCAAATCCAACACAATTCCTGAGTTTTCAGGCGATATATATCTAACTGGTCCTTACTTTATCAGATAATTTAGTAAGCTCAAGATTAACGATGATAATCAGTTACAGCTATACTATGCTTTCCCCTTTGCAAAACTCTTGTGTACTATCATTTCATTTTCATTAAGTTATGGAACAGTTATGTATTCTTGTATCACCAATATAGGAAAAGTGAGGCATGAAGAAATTAAACGACTTAACAACATTTACACAATGAACTTAGAACTAGAAATTAGGTCTTTTAAATTACCAACATCATTTCTATTTGTGTTAATCTACACTGGTGTTTATATGACACTGTGAAAGAGAAACATATTTGTTAAAATGCTCTGGTAAAACTGAAACTAAGTCTTTAAAAAAAGGTAATGTTAAAGATCATGCTTGAGAAATTCTAAAAACAAGGCAATCATCTCATTTGGCAGGGGTTGACATATAACTGATTCTATCCTGTTCAAATATACATATATGTTTTTAAAACATGATATAAACACTTTCAGATCTAGAAATAAGCAAAAGAGTAGTCTGCTTATGTAGAAAAAGTTATATTCCTTTCTGTATCAAGGTACCTTATATTTTTGTGTCTCAGTTTCCCACGTTTGAAATGGGATAACAATATCTATCTCAAATGGTTGCGGTGAGGATTAAGTTAATACATTGTAAACCACTTGGTACTGTGCCTGCCACAAAGAAAATGCCAATAAGTGTTAGCTAAATATAAGCCTGTTTGTTTTTTTTCCTACCAGGAGAGAAATAGAAGTACAGGCTCTAAAACTTCAATGGAGGGAAGAATTTCACTCTATCAAGTGCTGATGTTCAAAAATTTATTTAAGATTTAACTAAAACCTGAATACTAAGCATCTACATTGTGTAGAAATGTGCCTAGATCTAAGTCAGTTTACCAAATACGTTTTTTCCTTAGAGATTTCCATATGCCTGTCAAAGTTTCAGCATCTTCATAATGACAGACTTATCTCCATGAGTCCATACGTAACTTAAAACCACATGAGAGCAACATTAAGATGGACTTAAACTGGAGATCAATTAAAAAAAAATCTTCTCAGCCATCAGTAATGATCTAATCTTTCTTTACCCTTCCACTGCAATAAAATGGGGAATACAACGGAAAATGTGTTCAATAACTGATGACAAAATGATTCCAAAATTGCGGTTCGCTGCCTGAAAATTGTACTAAAAGGGTGGAAAAAATCAGCTCTGCATTCTCTTTCCAGCATGGTGATTATTCAATAAACAGTTTTGCTCACTTCTGGAATAGGTTTTTCAAGGATTGTAGATTGAAAAAGTTTTGTCCCTTTCTGAAAAGGCCTTATCCTTTTAACGTGGAACGCTCCCTTTAGGCAATATAGTATGTTGCATTAGGTCAAACACTGGGTCTAGGCAATCTAGACCACCATATTAATAAGAAGGGAATTTTAAAGGACATGTTCTGAAACCGAGTCAAAGATAACCAGAATCAATTTCATTCGCTTTTGAACCTGAGCACTTTCACAAGAGAGTAATTATAGCCACTAGACTTTAATAGGTTTAAGTTGCTGTTTAATTACTTTGCCTTTCTATTCTGTCCATCCATCCATCCATTTAGCTTAACTTCAGGGGTCACGTCTCCAAAAGTTTTTTTCCACCCCAAGATTTCCCCAAGAAGAAAGCAATACCAAAAAGGAGGCCTTGATAGCAGGGTCTCACTTCCCTCTTAGGAAAATGAATGGCCTTGCCCAAAAGTAAAGCCGCGCCAACTTGAGGACAACAGGCTGATCCCACCTTTCCCACACAACCTCGTGAGTGCGGTGCCAGGTCCGCCCGCGCACAGAGGCTCAGGGCATCTCCCGCGAGCGTCTGCGATTCCGCCAATGGCTGGGGGACCTGGCGCCCGGGGGGCTCTCCCCGCGACCCCGCTGCCCATGGGGCTCCTCGCGCCGCGCGTTCCCGGGCGACCACTCACCTTGCTGGGCTCCGGCGTCCTCGAGCAGCAGGAGGATAAATAAGAGCAGGAGGAACAGAGGCATAGGGGAGGAGGAAGAGTCGGAGCGGGGAGGGAGGAGGCAGGAGTGCGAGTGGGGAAACGCGGCCCGGGCGGGGGCGGCGGCGGCGGCCGCGGCCCGGACTCGGGAACGGTGCGGGCTGCGCCCGGTTCTCACCACCCCCCAGCTCGCCATCGCGGCGGCAGGCAGTCCGCCTGCATAGTGCAGGCGTCCCGGGAGTCCCGCGGGCCCTGGGGCCGCAGCACCGGGCAAGGAGGGGGCGGATGCGGCGAGAGAGCGAGAAGCAACGCGTGCCTCTCCTCGCGCCGGGACCCCCTCCGCCCCTCACTCCGCTTTTGCCTCCTCCTCCTTCGTTCCTTCCCTCCGCTCCCCGCCCAAGACCCCAGGCAGGAGTGCAGGGGAGAGGAGGGAAGGAATCAGGGTGCTCGAGGCGCGGGGTTTGCCTGCGGTGGAGCTGGGGAGCGCGCCCCCCGCACCACGCTCTGCGACCCGGCCCCTGCTCGCCGCGCTCGCCCGCCGCTCCGGCTAGCTGGCAGGCAGGTCGCCCGCCCGCTCCCTCGCGCTCCCTCTTGCGCGCTCGGCCACGCCTCCTCGGCATACCCGGCCAATCCGAGGTTGGCTCCTGTCCGTCTCCCCCCGCGCCACCCAATCAACAAGCTCTCTCCTCGGTCGACCCGTTAGCTCCCCGGCCCACTCCTCTAGCTCCACCACTCTCATCTCTCTTCTCCAATCCCCTGAGGCCTTGGGAAGCGTCCCACCCGCCTTCCCCAATCTGGGTTCCGCCCACAAGGTCGGCCCCGCGCGGCCCCCGCCGGGCCCGCGCGTATGTTATTGTTGGGACCTCAGCCCAAGCTGATCCCACTGAGGCGGGTGCTTGCTCTGGTCAATGACTTCCGGGACTTCCCCCATCCGGCTCTCCTTGCTCCTCAGGCCTTGCTGACTTATTGCTCCTCCCTCGCCGCGCATCAGGCCACTGGAAGGGGTGGGAAACCTGGATCGTGGATGGTTTTTGCTGGGAGCTGAGTCTAAAGGACTTTTTTTCTTTCTTTCTTTCTTTTAATAGAGCAGAGTTTATTATTATTGTCATCACCATTATTATTAAAAGTACAGCCAATTGTTGTAGCGACCCTGATTTACAAATAACAGATCAGTGCGCAATTTAAAAATATGTCTTTCCTGTTTTCAATGCCTTTTACTCTATTTACTAAATTGGAGGGGGATATATATCACAAGATCCACGCCTCCCAAAGTAATTTAAATCTAACAACATCTTAACATTCATTCAGCCATTCTACCAAGAGTTGCTGAGCACCTGCGATTTAACCTGCAAACACTATGCTATGAGTTGTGGGAGTTGTGGCCATAATACAGAAATCTCCCAGGATCTAGTGTTAGGACAGAGATGGAAATACATCATGAAAGTCAGGATAAAATAAGTGCTAATTAAAGTCGCAAGCAATTTGATGGCGACTGTAAAGGGATGGAGTGACAGAAAAAAATCTGATCTTTGGGAAAGAGAAATCCACAGGTCTAGCAGGTGATGGGTTTTAGAGAGGAAAAAGGTGCCATCCTGAATGTCTTTTATACGGGCCCCTAAAAGGAGGATGGTGTCATTAACAAATACAGGAAACTGGAAAAGTGGAGCAGGTTGTGTGGGAAAGTGAGTTAATTTGGGACATAGTTTGAGATGTCCTCTCAGTTAATATGTGAAGCTATATAAAGGCAGGTGGACATTTTGGTCTAATGCTTAGGTTAAGGAGTACTCTGAAGTTCTGTGTGGAAGTCATGAATACATGCAACATTCAAAACCATGGGAAGGTCTAATTTCCTCCAATGAAAATCTGAGAATTGGAAAGGACTTTGGAAGTAATTTTTTAACTCCCCTGCAGATCTGTCATGCATTAACCTTGCTACCAAATTTATTTGATAAGCATTTATTGGATGCCTATCAAATCCTACTATGCTTTCTGCCTAATGTAGGCAGTGGGCATCCAAAGTTTAAACATAAGAGTCTATGTTCTATGAGGGAAGCAACCATGTAAATAAATCCATTGCTATCAGCAATGTATGGACTGGTGCTACAATATCACAATAAAAGGATTTTAAGAAACCCATTATGGCAATTATGAAACTCCAGCTGTCTGAATAAGAGGACAAAGTAAGGAAGATGCTCTCAGTCAAGAGGCAAAGTAGGCTGGATAGCAGGTGAATGGTGCTAATTATTGCTGGCTTAATGGGAGGAACTAAAGACTAGTCTGGAAAGATCAATAAGGGCAAGATCTAAGACAGGCTAAGGAGCCAGGATTTTATTTTGTAGCATTGAAAAACAACTAAAGAGTTCTAAGAAAAAGGGACATTATCAGATTATTTCAGAAAACTCAACCAGATAAGAGGGTGAGGATTGGACTGGAGTAGGAGTGAGACTGGAAGCCAGAATTGCTGGTCTGGTGACTGGTCTAGTGATTTGTATAGTTAAAAAAGTGACAGTGAGTCTGAACTACAGTAGCAGTGGGCTTAGAGAGGGAAGACTGACTGGAAGAATATTTATGTATGTAGTGACTGATTAGATGTGGCGACTAAGGAGGAATTGAGGAAGATACTCAGGTTACAAGGTAGAAAGCAATACCTTTCCCACAGTAAAAAAAAAGGTAAAGAGACTTGTTTGGTTGGATGAGAAGGTAGAAGACAAGATTATGAATTCAATATTGGGCATATCAAACATAATGTGCTAATGTGGCAGCAGTGAGTCATGTACTGACTTCTCGTAATAGTCTCTTTGAGACAACCTATCTTGTTTATTGGACATCTCCTTTCATAGGGCATTCAATGATAACCTTGAGGTCATAAAGGTGATGACAGATCAAGGTATTATTTCAAACTTAAAGGCATTCTGTTGACGACATAGAACTGCACCAGAGGCAGATAATTTACCTGTGAACTAGCAGAATTGTGGAACTCTTCCTGAAACAGACAAAACCTGGGGTATAGCCCCCTCTAATTCTTATAAATACAGCCGAAAATGATCTAAATTACATATGCCTAAAGCAAGAAGTAGGATCACTTACATTTTTTCATCCCTGTTTTACTCACTGTCTCGTATTTTAAGGGGTTACTCAAAGTAAAGAATAGAGAGGTGAAGAGGTTCTGAATGTCACTAGCAGGAAAGGAATGAGAGAGGAAGGGGCAAATTGGAATTATTTTTAAAGAGGGGAAATCAAAAGATCTTGGTGATAGAAAGCATTTGACAATTTCTACAGTCTTATGTTTCAGCTTCCTGGGTTTTGCTTTGGAAATACAGAGTATGATCTCTGGCTAGAGAACATTTGTGGAGACCCTTTAACTGGATGCACAAGGGAATAAAAGGTATGGCACAGATGTGGGAAAGGGTTGATGCTGTTTCTGCCCCCTATTCTCTCCCCACTTCTGATCATTGTCACTCTATTGAATTGCAAAAAAAAAAGAAGACTGCTCTGAGATCATCAAACTCTTTGTGGGACCTTACACCAAAGGAACATAACAGGCATTCATTTCTAGGACAATGCCCGGGTAGAGTGGAATTCCAGTTTATGTAATCTTTCTGAATCCCTACTTGCTGCTCTAGCCAACTTTGTCATCTTTTTTTGCCACTGGGACTTAGTGTGTTTGGGGATTGACATCTGCTGAGACAGTGGGAGCAATTCTTGTCCAGGACTATTTTACTCACGTGAGCCAGATGGCTGGGCTGAATCAGAACCAGGGATTTTAATCAGGATCCAAAGTAGATAGGCCTGGAGATAGCCATTGTCATAGCAGCCAGAGGCCCCCAGAAGTTAAAGTGTCTCCACAAGGGAAGCCCAGGTCCTAGCTCCTTCCTACAGCCTCTCAAAAAGGTATGGGCTTTACAGGTTCCCTTGGGGACAAGACTGACAGAAAAAACACAAACTGAGCAGTGTCTTCACTGCACATGAGTTCATTGACATGATAGGACTTGTAGCAGCCATGGTCACCTCCATTCATTAATTGATAAAATGAATTAATACTTTGGATAAAGTCTCTGGGGAAGATGAGAGCTTCAAGAAAGAAACAGGATAGTTATATATGAAATACCAGTAAATTAAAATATGTATCATTTCAATGTATTTGTTTGTTTATTCCATGTTAAATATAAATATAGATTCTCAACCTAAATCTTAATTCACCAGACTTTTCTCTCCTTTCTCTCTTCTCTCTCTTCCTTTTTCTCATTTCCTTTCTTTAATTCATTAAAGAGTAGAGGAATAGAGAAAATGGAATTGACCTGTAGAGAAAAGGAGAAATATGAAAAGAATGGTTACATCTTACTTCTGCTTCCAAATGAATACCCAGTTCAGCTACTGCTAAGAAAATAAGAATGGAGGAAAAGAACCTAGGGGCTGGTGCCTTTGCTTCATAGAGAAACATCTGGGTTTTAATGCAATGATATGGTAAGAATCATTGGCACCATCATCGCTATTAAATGTCTGTTAAGCATTAATAAAACAGAGGAGGCTCATTTAATATGGCATTTATACTGAAAAGCTTGGGATGATGGTATGTAATGAATCACTAGTGGGCTTTATCAGTGAGTGTATATTTTTGGCAGGATAACAGAAAGAGGGAACAAACGAGAATTTTTATTTTCGTGATCTTCCAGTGGGGTGGGAGAGAAAGAAGAATGTGGCAGTTCTGGGGAAATTTTCAAACTTCAAAGCCCAGGGCCCTAAGATCTGGTTACTTTTCTCACAGGAGCATTTTCTTTGTCCTGTTGACTCTTTGGATAAATGTTTACAGCCAAGTTTGTTGCTAAATGTCTGAATTCTGCCAAGGAGACTTTCTTCCTTTCTGTGAACAGAAGTGCTTTGGATACATTTTTCTCTTTATCTTGTAAGCTTCTTTCAATTAGTCATTTCAGTCAAATCCAGCTCTCAGGTATACTACTCATATTTTCTTAATATCTAGGCATTTGTTACAACAAATTTAAGACAGAAGTGATAGGAACCTAACTTCTTGTAGAAGATACTTCCTTTCTACTGGTGGATAATGACATTACATATATTTTCTTGGCATATTTCAGCAACATGACTGACTTTGATCATTTTCCATTTGCCTCTTCCTCCAAACATCTTTTTTTCTTTCTATCTCTCCCCACTGCCATATATATATATATTTTTAAAGGAAAATAAGAAACTTAACTAATTCACTCTCTTTTGGGTCAGCACAAAAAGGCTTCAGCTTGATATTTTATTTCTGATGGTAGCTGCAAAGGATTTTAGTAAAAACATGAAAAGTTCCCTCCATCAACATCATGCCTAGAAATTAGAGAATTAATTATACATGAATGGCTGACAGAAAACTAAAAAATGAATAGTGAACATCCCAGAGTATCTGAAATAATATGATTTAGGTGTGCAGTGGCTGTATGCCTCTCCTAATATGCCTGCATTCTTTCCTGTGGGACCCATGCTGGCAACAGAGTCGAGAATTAAATATACAGAGCTGAAATGCTGTTTGGCTTCTGAGAAACCGAGTTATTTCATGAGATCATGGAAACAACTCTA